AGAGTGGGGATGAAAACGGGAGTATCTTTTGGCACCCCAAAATTTTTGGTACCCCCCCTCAATTAATTTTGGCGTGGCCAAAGCAATTTAATCTTGAGGGGCGTGGCTAAAAAAAATTGGGGCTCTGTTCAAAAAAATACCTTTGGGGGAGGAGCAAATTTTTTTCTAAGGGGCGTGGCCAAAAAAGTATTAAAATGAAATTTAATTTCATTTCATTTTTTGTTGGGAGCATTTTGGGGAGGGGGCGTGGCCTCTTGGGGGCGTGGCCTCTTTGGGGGCGTGTCCCTTTTGTGGGCAGGGGTGTCCTGGGAGGGGAAGGGGCGTGCTGGAGGTCACAAGCAGTAACTGGGTGTTGCTGGAGTACAGCGTGTCCTTCCATTTTCTCATGAAGAGTCTTCAAAGGTGGAGGGAAGGGGAATTCCAATTTCAGAGCACCATCTGTGTTATTTCTTTGAACTCGTCTTCCTCCATAACACGCCAAATGTTTCTGGGCTGGCTGTTCCCTGCCTCTGCTTTAAGCCTTGGAGGACCCCCTGTGATCCACAGGTTGAGAATCACTGGCACAGAGGATGAACACCAGTATTACATGTGTGCAGGAATGTCAAGAAGTGTGAGTGTGAATATTTGGTCCTTGATTCACAGCCACAGTGGGAAGAAAAGTGTGTGTTCCAACCACACTATCACAAGTGCCCAGATCCATTCTTACCTTCTTACTCCTCTCAAATGAAGCCAAGTTGAGGTTCTGTGCAAACAGGTCTGGGAACCCCTCTTTCAAAGAAGAGTCCAAAGAAGATGCACGATTTCACAACCAAAAGGCAGACAGGGTGGTTAAGAAAAGCTAGATTTATATTAAATTATCATTAACCCCTAAAATACTGAACACAGTGGTTAAATAACTCCAGGAAGTCCAATGTCTCCAGTGAGTTAAACATGAAAAGGGTTACACAGGAACACATGGAAATCACTGACGTTAGCTGGGGACAGACAGGAGAGAGGTTTGCTTTTTTACATAGTAAATCAGTGCTCAAGAGATCATCCTCCAGTGGCCTTTCTACCTTCTTAACATCCTATGTGCAGCGAGGGTCTTCTCTTCCCCACAATGGGGAACCATGATGAACCCCCCTAGGCAGCATCTCACTGGGGCCATCTCCAGGAAAAAGAGACTAATTTGTGCCCACCTCATGGGTAGAGGAGAGGCTGTGGGACATCTTGTTGCTCCTCTCCACCATGATTGTTTGAGGAAGGGAGAAGAGTGCAGAATGGTTGCTAGGCTGGAGCATGCAAGGTCCCTCCTAAGAAGCAGCAGGGAATATTTATCAAGGTGAAGATGACCAGCACCCCAAGTTGTTGAGAAGGCTGACTGGGTTTTCCTTTATATTCTGCACTTGCAACTCAGACAGCAAGTTCCAGGTTTGCACACACATCTTTCCCTTCACCCTGGCCCACCTCAGGATTTTGGTGCACACCCATATGAGCTAGTGGGGCAAAAAAAAACACCCCACCCCACATAAACCCTGCTCTCCTGGAAGTCAGAGCCTTCCTCTCCTCTCCACCCACCCCCTCCCAGCTCCAGTGCCCCTGCCCCTACCCATGGGTTCTGGCCAAATTGGTTCTTCTGCCTGTGCTGGAGCCCTCTGGTGTTGTCCCTGCCAGTGATTCACCTTTCCAGCTCCTACCCTAGTCCAAGCCTCAATCCAGAAGTGCCTCTGCCCAACAAAAACAATGCTTCCCAGGCTGGAGTCAATCAAATAAATAATTAAATTAAAAAAAAAAACTATTTTTTTTTTTTTAAAAAAACCAAACAAACCAACAAAAACAACCCCTCTGGGAGTAGGGAAGAGTCCCACATTAACACAGGGAAGTTTCCAAGCCTTAGCTCCAGTTCATTTTCCAGGGGAACAGACACCAGTCAGCCCAATGGTGCAGTTAGGGACAGTTTCAAGCCACTCAGCCAGGTCACAGCTGCAACCTCCCCTGCTCTCTGCAAAGCTGCCTCTGCTAGGAAATTCTTCACTGGCAAGTTCTGCTTCCAAGTATCTGGTTTAACACTTTACCTTTTACCATGATAGTATCTGTATGATTTGAGGGGTCAGTATAAATCTCATTTCTGAGTTAGCATCAAGTGATATTTTCTCTGGTTTTTTTTTTTCTCCCCCCTCTGAACAAACAGATGATAAGAGAAGCCAAGAGAATATGAAAAGGTGGCAATAGTCCTTGGGAGCATGCAAGCCCCAGCTCCAGATGCTGCTGGGGGGGTAACTGCAAGGGTAGGATTACACCCTCTAGAGGGTAAAGGCCTTTGGAGGGTAGAGAACAACTGAAGCTCATGCAGCTGATGGGAAAAATGACTTTGCAAGGAGAGCTATTTAGTGGTAACAGAAGAGCTTAAAGTGCAATTCCATCTGATAAACAACTATTGAAAATGGCCCTTACAGCTCCCTGATTATTGTCTCCTATTCTAGGTCAAATGGGCTCAGCCTAGTAATAAAGCAGTTCCTAACTGTCACCACTGAGCACTCCCCAGGGGAAGACTCAATCTCTCTTTTCACTCGTTATGATAATCCAATGTATGTCCTGAAGGCCAAGAGAATTAGGAACCTGCAGAATTTGGACTAGTGGAGCCTTAGCAAATTTTCTTTTTCTTTTTTAATGTATCAGTTATGCAAAGACAAGAGTAAAATTTAGGTCTTGCTAAGATCCATTTCCTCCCATTAGCTCTGTAGAGCTAAGAACAATACCAATCTCTTCCTCAAGTTCAGCACTCTGACTCCAGCACCCTCAGGGAGCAGTTCTGAAAGGGCCATTTGCTGACTCTTGTTTTTCCAGAGGAGAAACATGTTTTAACAGGACAGGGGAGAAGAGGAGCAGTGCCTGCTGCCAGCAACAGACACAGTGCTCCAATCTGAGCATTCCTTGGAGTTTTTCCTAGCACATGGGAGAGTAAACAGTGATGCTCTCATGAAGTGAGTCATGGCAACTGTGGGTAGCCTCTTTACGCCCTTAAAAGGTGACCTGATGCTGTGTCAGTGTCCCTTTGAGTCCCAAAGTATACCCCATCTATTCCAAGACCTCTCTCAAGTCAGAGACCCCTCAACACCAGGCCTCAAAGAGTGCTGCTAGTGCTGGAATGACATGGGGAACTTCTGTGAGCAGGAACTAGTGAGGAGGCAGCTCTGCTCTCTTCACGGGCGCTGACCGCGAGCTGGACGGCACAGGACTCGCAGGTTGCCAGAGAACACAGAATCTGAACCAGATTCAGGCCAGAGGAGTCACTGCAAAAGTTAATGTGGCAGCTTCCAGGAAAAGGGAACATATAAATAAACCACAGACAGTGAAAATGAACCAAAAGGGTATCAGGGTTCCAAGCCACCCATCCTCCCTCTCCAACCACAACCGCTGCCCCAAGCTCCTTGCTGAAAGGCAGTCAGTCTCTGGGTCCCTCACAAGAGGGGCTCGTCCCCGTGCCCTTCTTGCCTAGCAGGCAGAGTCCTGTCTTTTTTTTTTGTTGTGCAGAGCAGAGGCTGGGGAGGGTAGGAGCATTTCCAAAGTCGTGTGTCCTTTAGACCTGGCTCTCCGTGGAGGGCTTGCGCTGGTGTTTCCAGCCCGTGTCCGGGAGTGAGCCACGCCGCTCGGGAGTGGCCGCTGCTGTGTTGACACTGCTGCATTCAGACTGTTCCTCCTGCAGCAGCTGCTCAGTTTCGGTGTCGTCCAGTGAGCCAGAACTGGCCTGCAGAGAGACTGTGTCTGTCTTCATGCAGACGTGGTCCCTCAGGAGCCCTCCTCGGGAGCTCCGGATCTGCTTCAGGTCGTCCCACTCCGCCTCGTCACCGGATAAAAGGCATATCCCCTCCACAATCTTAATCTTCTCCTTGGTGTAGCTGTGGTCAGGACCAGTCTAGGGAACACACAGGTGAATTAAAAAAAACCCCAGGATATCTATGGGAAAAATAAGGCAAAGAGCAAAGCAGAGATGGGATGTACACAGTGAAGCAGACAGGAAGCTGGACCTGCATGTGAACTGCCGCTGGCTTTGATGTTACAGTGGCAGAACCCACTCTGAGTGTCCCTTCAGTTCTTCACCACCCCAATTCAAATCCTCCCTACCAGAGCTCTCGTTCAAACTCCAGGAGCCTTCAAAGCATGGAAAGGGAATGAGGATGAGCTGGCTCTTCTAATTCAACTAAATGTGTGTGTATATATACATACACACACATATTATAATAGATATATTCCCTGCCAGCAGGTAATAACAACAACACTGAGCCTAAAAAGGGAGGAAAAAAACCCCAAACCAAATCCAAGTGGGAAGCAGGAACAGCCAGAAAACTTCATGGTAGAAGTAGGCAGGGAATCAATTTTAAGTCTGCAATAACTTCACATCTGAGTCATTCCAGACTGGACCCAGGGAAGCACTGCTGGAATACCACTGCTGAGTCTCAGTCTCACAGTGAGACAGTGGAGGGAGGTTATTGGGAAACAATGGAAATGATCAGAGGCTAAAGGCACCACACTGAGATTAAAGTAGTGAAATCTGTCCAACCTGGCTCACTGACAAATAAGGAGCATTAGAACATCTGATCTGTCCCCGAGGAGAAAGTGGAGGGGGTGGGGAAGTACACCTCTGGGTGTATCTAGGAGCAACAGAATTAAAGAGAAAAGTGGAAAGGATTTTGATTCCCAGATAAATAATCCTGGTTTATCTCCTTAGCAGATAAAATGGCAGGAAAGTTTGGTAGATCTGTTTGATAGTGGCTTTGAGAAACAAAGCCAGGGAAAACTCTTCTCTGTGTAGAGTCTTGCTGTGATCTCTGCTGGAGAACTAAGTGACCTATCAGATTAGCATAAATAATCCTACAGAAATTATATTTGTCTAATCTCACATCCTGAGTACGAGTAGCCAAAGCCAAGACCAAAGGATCTGCCATAGAAAATTACCTACTCTTTCTTGACAGGCAGCAGAGCTGGTTTAAGGACATAAAAAGCAGGGGGAAAAACCCAAGGAAGAACAGTTAGTATGGGACAGTGCTTGAGCCACACACAGAGCTTGAGTGAGGGAGGCAGGATCAAACACAGAGCAGTGATACCTGATGTGAGGATGTGGACGGAAATCAGAAGAGGGAAGATGAGAAGCTATCTGAGTGATAAGAAAGCTTCTGAGGAAAAAAACAGAGGAGAAACTAAGTGCTGCAAGATATCATAGTAAATCCTTTCCATCCTGTGGCACACAGGGCAGACCTCTGCAGGGCCTTTAAAACACTCCATTGAATAAAGGCTCCAGTTCTGTCCCTACCCCACCCCTTCCAGGCAGTGCAGAGCCAGAAGCCACATGCTTGTTAGCAAACCCCTTCTGGCTGCCTGGCTCCCCTGGTGACTGTCCAAAGCAGCCTTGATGCAACAGTCACTGACCAGGACCATGTCCAAGGAAGACAATTCTCTTTGACTCCTGTACTTCAAGGGTCAGCACCCAATGCAAATGAAACAGAAGACACTGTGGGAGTGGGGAAGAAGCAGAGTGCTAAAGACAAGTCTAGTTCACTACAGCTCACTGGGGAAGAAGTGCTGCTGGTCGAGCTCCACAGGTAGGAAGCAATTCACTGAAGCTGTCCTCCTATGTCCCAGGAGTAAATGCTGACAAGTTGCAACATTTTCACATCCTAAGGCCTGTAACGCTCAACAGCAGGTTGAGCTGTGCTCCCATGTCCTCAGTAGCAGCTCTTACCTCTTTCTTATAGCACAGCTGGTTGTACATGGTTGGTTTGGGCATTGCTTCAATCTTCACCTCCTGGGTAGATGTCCGATAGGAAGGATTACTGTAGGTGAGGTTTGCCAAGCCAGGCTCTGTGAACTTGGACTTATTATGCCTAAAGGGAGAGAGCTGTCAGAGGAGACACAGGGACCTGCTGCCAGGATCCAAAGTTCTCAGGGAGAGGAAAGCTCCAGCAGTCTTCACTGTGCCTCAGAGAGAGAACACTGGCTTCACCTGGCTCTTCAGCTACCAGTATGTTCACCACACACGAGCTCACACGTGTGCTGACACATGAATTAGCTCACACCCCTCTCCATCATTCATAAGCTCTCTGCAGAAAATTTAGCCAATAAGGCTTCAAACAATAGACTTGCATCCCCAACACTTCAAAGGCACACGACTCAAACCTTTCACTGCTTCCAATGGAGAACAAAGGGACTGTATATTACAATAAAGAAAGGTGAAGTTCTTTCAGGATCCTTCTCCTACAACCCTAGATTTTACTACTGGCCAGAAGAGGGGAAAGAAGATCACTTACCTATATATAATTAAAGCAGCAATCAGCAGCAAAATAAACAAGATGCTGAGAAGACCTCCAATAATGTAGCTGACGTGCAGTCCTTCTCCTGGAAGTGAACAGCAAGGGTAATTTGTGCACTCCACTTCCACTGGATAATAGTGACCTCACTGTGATGCCTAATGCAGAGGGTTTGTACCATACAGAAGCATGTAAAGTAAAATGTCACCAGACCAAGGTTTAGCAGAGGGTTTTTGGCTTCCTGTGAATCCAAACACACAATAACCCTTCCTCCCACACAGGCCCCAGCAAACCAGGGAGCATGAAGATCTTTATAATGGGGTTAGATAAGGATGAGCTAAACTCCCTTGCTGGCAGGTTACTCCTGCAGTGGGAAACAATTACCCTGGTCAACCATCCTCAACTAAACACAAAGGGGACAGTGAAGAAGAGGATCATGAATGGAAAGAGCCCAATGGACAAGGTATGGGATGAAAGAGAACAGAACTATTCCTCAAAGTGTTAGATGGAAAAGTCCCCATACAGACTAATGAATGTGTATGATGTTCATCCTTAGACACACTTTGCTCTGCTCAGGGGGCACCTGAGTAATTAAATTCTCAGTTTCAGAAATTTGAGTTTCAAACACTGTGGACTGGAATGTTCTGGGCACATCTGGAGGAATAATCCCCACGGGGAAGAGTTAAAGAAGAGGAACTCACCCATGGTTGCCAACACTGCCTCACTGGCATGGGTGCACAACCCTCTCCTGGCATCTTTGTCAGAGCAGCTGAATGACAGAAGGACAATTAATTACTGACAGTAGTATCAACAGTATTCAATGTATCAAAAGACATGATGGGCAGGCTAGCACTGATATCCCTTCCACTTCAACAACAGGAGCTTTCCTTTCTCTTCTTCAGTATCCTTCTGTATCCAGGGAGGACCATAAATATGCATAGGACAGGGGTTGTGCATGTATATATCAATCACAGGTCTGCAGTATCTTTATATCTGAATCATTCTAGATTCACCTCTTGGGTGCATACAGAGATCTAGCAGAACACAGATTTCAGCATCAGCACTGAAGCAAAAATCTGAACCTCCCAGAGTCAGTGCAAAGCTATTTCTGTCCAATACATCATACTCAACAAAGCTGAAGTTTTGCTTTGTAAATAACCCAGCCACATATTATAGAACATCCTTTTTCTGCTGGAGGAATAGCAGGCTGTAGGGATTTAGAAAAATCTCTCTTAACTGCTTGCATTCTAACTTAAAGATGCAAAAATTCTGCTTTGCCCCAAACAAGCTACTCCTTTGTGGCCAGGGCAGAACCATCTTGTCAGATGCCTGGGTCAGTGAATTAAAACAACAGACTCCCCTCTCCTCCTCCTCTCAGAAGTAAGTTTCCAAAATTAGGAATTAAAAAAAAATAATTTAAAAAACCATCCATTGAATGACATGGTCTCAGAGGGATTTTAAGGTTTTGGCCAGCTCAACAGTGTTTTGCATTCTTTGTCAAAACTGTTTTCCCCATTATGAATATAAGGTCTGAAGGTGTAATATCCTCTTTTTGACTAGGGAGAAGAACGTTTGGATGATGACAACCAGAGGGAGCTTGGGTATTGCACCTTGCACGAGCTGTGACTTTCTCACCCACCTCCAAAAGAACAAGAGCACTTACTTTCCTTCCACTGCTTCCAGAGGTGTAAGAGGTTTGGTGGTCGAGGTATCCATTCTGCCAGGTGGTGTCTGACTTCTCTCACCTGGACTGGTGGGTTCAGGACCAAGGGGCACCACACCAGGGACTAGAACAACAGAGGAAAAATAAGCATGGACCCCAATGCTGGGGGAGGGATGAACAAGTCTGGTGAGCTACACAGTTTCTGAAACAGCTTATAGGAGCAGCTTTCCCATGTCAAATCCAGTCCCTCAGCAGAGAGAACAGAAGGCGGCTCTATTTCTCACAAACTGCCTTATTTTCAGTATAGGACTCTGCACAAGTTTTTATACTTAACAATACTTTATACTCAACCTGGAGAGGTTCAGATGCTCTGGTTGCCACTGTGCAAGCAGTGGCAGAGGCTCACTTATGAAAGCTACCCCCCAGTGACACTCAGTAAACTCACTAGTAGAACAGGGCCGTCCATCTGGTTCATCCGGACAGGCGCAGACGAAGTCGGAAGCCCTGGCAAAGCAGAGGTGAGTGCAGCCTCCATTGTTCACTCCACAAGCATTAGTACCTGGAAGGAACAAGCAACTGTCTAAATGTGTTGCAGGTGGCCAGGCAGGAGCTCAGAGCAACAACCTTTTTTCCTGCTCAGCTAGAGATACTTCCTAGAAATCCATCAGTTTACTATGCCCTGCCACATGGCCTTCACCTGACTGCTGAGAAAGTCATGACAGTCACCAGACACTGGTAGGATTAGGGCAGCTTTGGAAGGAAGAAATCTTTAGACAGGAGCCCAGTCAATACAGCTGCACAGATTAAACCCCAAAAAGCTCACATTCTTGCCACAATGCCAGATGAACAACACCACAAGAGGTATTTGCTTGTCAGAGCTCTAACAGAACATTGTTAAGATGTATTTGATTGTCACAGATGAACAAGGAATGTGCTTAGGGAAAATGTATTAACTGTTTGAGTATAAAAAGGATGCCAGCCTTGCTTGACATCTACAGTAGCACAGTGGTCCCAGAGATCTTTTTGTCTGTAAATAGCATTTGCCTGAATTGAGGTCCTCCTCTTTACCTGTCTGTCTCTGAGGGGAAACCACAATGATATCCATCAGCCCCTCCACATTGGCTAGGACTGTCTCCTTGTTCCTCCCAGAGTATTTGTCCACTCTCTGGATAGATTTGGTCTGCCAGTCAGTCCAGTATATCCACCTGTCCTGCTGCTCAGGGAGACAGCAAAGAAAAAGCACAGCCATTAGCATGTTTAATCACGTAGACACAAGATACCCCTAAAAAACACATCCCAGTGGCAGAAGGCCTTAAACAGAGGCCTTGTCAACCCCCTCCTCTCTTTTCATAAAGATTACTTCCTACATGCCACAAAAGTTCAGACAAACTTCCTTTATTAGCTCCATGAAGAGTTAAATACTATCCTCTCAGCCATCTCGGTTTCCTCAGAATGTAACACTTCCCTGTTCCCAAACTCCACTGTCCAAACTCCTCCACACACCAGGGAGAACAGTGGCAACAGGAAAACATCCTTACCTGTGTCAGAGCAAAGGGATGGGACACCTGGCTGACCAACACTTGCCGTAGCTTCCCATTGAGATCACAGCTCTCTATGCGGTCGAGGTGTGCATCCACCCAGTAAATCCTGGAGGAACAGGAAAAGAAGGGAGCTTCCACCTCCACAATCTCTTTACTTTCTAGTTGTTTGCTAGCCCAGATGGCTCAGGCCAAAAAAAAAAACCCAAACCAAACTAAATCCACAACACTAATCCAATAAATTAAGCTAAGAAGGCCAAAAAAAAAAATATTAAAAATTCATTATATCCCTTATTATATTATTATTATATTATTACATTATTATATTCTGTGCAAGTATAAGAAAGTCTTTTGCTGACCTCCTGGTGTCATAATCCAGAGTCAATCCATTGGGCCACCCTAGGTCAGTGTTAATCAGGATTTTACGTTCGGAGCCATCCAAGTTTGCCCGCTCAATTTTAGCAATGTGACCCCAATCTGTCCAGAAGAGGTACCTGAGGAGATAAAAGGCAAGTGTAAGAAGGAAAGAACATTACATTTAGCCCAACAAAAGTTTTAGTTATGAATTAAACAGCCAGATTCTTCATGTTCAAAAAATATCATGCGGTCTGTAGCTTGCTTCTCCCAGCTATCTCCCCAACCTTCAGGTTCACTGTCTGCCTGATAACACCCATCTGTAACCCCCTTGCTGGTACCTGCAGAGTCACATGGCACATCTCTTCTTCCTCCCACAACCTCCTCTTCCAACCTGCCTCTGCACAGCCCTTCTCCCTGCCCCACCAATACCCCATACCTACCCCTTCTTAGGAAAGACAGCAATAGCTCGGGGCTCATCCAGGCTGTTGTTGACCAGCACTTTCCTGGAGCTTCCATCCAGCCTAGCTACTTCTATGGTATTGCGTCCTGTGTCTGTCCAGTAGAGGTTTCTGGCAACCCAGTCCACTGCCAGGCCATCTGTGGTCTTCAGACCCTGACCAATAACAGTCTCCATGTTGCTGCCGTTGAGATCAGACCGCCTGGATGGAAATCAATGAAAGTGAGGAACGACAGCCCCAGGAAAGCCTTCACACCTCCACCTGTCATCCCCATCAGCCACAGGGCAGCAACTTCATATTGCTACCTCCCCAACACCTTCTTCCTCATAACCTCCAGCAGGTTAAACACCTTCAGCATTTAGTTCAGTGCCACACACGATGCTGGGTACCAAAGACAAGGTCTAAGTAGTGGCACATTGATCTCAGTCTCCCCAGCTCACTGGCACATTCCACAGCTCGCTGTGCCACAACCAGCACATGTAGCTGGGTGACCTGGGTGAGCAGATGACTGGCACCCACCTGATGACATCAAGAAATACATCTGTGTAGTATATCTTGCCATCCACACTGTCATAGTCCAGAGAAATGACGTTGTTCAGCTCGGGGACAGGTATATGCACATCTGTGTGGTCACTGGTGTCCAGCGAGATACGACGGATGGAGGCACGGCTAGAGAAAAGTAGGTAGGTCTCTGGAGAAGACTCACATGTCTGCTCATCTCTCTTCAGCTGGATACCAGTGGGGCAGGCACAGGAGAAGCCAGTGGGGTGAGGCAAGCAAAGGTGGGAGCAGCCACCATTACGAACTCCACATTTATTGAAGCCTTTAGAAACAGGGAAAGCACAGTTGAAGGATCAGTGTGGTCCCACAGACCAAAGCTTTATTGTAAAGGCTACACACATGCACAACTTGCTAGCAGCTGAATTCATCCTTGGCATCCCAGCCTTGCTGGGAATCTACAGCCCTTTACACAGACTCTGCCTTCCCGCCCTCCAAGATCTGTAGCGGGTGTGGGCATGGTTGGGCAAGGAGAACAAGAAGGCACATAAGGGGGAGCATCAGGAGCAAAATCTTGACCTGCATTCCTTGATACTCATAATTTTCCCATGGAAAAAGGAATAGCCAAATGCTGATAGATTCACACCACTGCAGTTTAGCTTTATTATGGCTGCAAATCTTAATGCCAGCAGAAGGATCCAACCCTGTGGGGAAGCAGTGTAACAATTTACTAGAGGCCAGGCTGACAAAGAAGCTTCTGTTTCAACTTAGCTGCACACAGTGGCAAGTAAACAAAGGCATCAGAGAAGCCTGCTCAAAGTGCCTGACATATTAGGGTCATATCTTTTTTTTTTTTTTTTAATTGGAAAACAAGAAATCAACCCAAACCAACATACATTTGCTAGGAGGGGACAGGCCCAGAAGTCAGGTGCAGAGAGTTGGAAGAAGACAATGAGGATATATCACCTAGAATCTTGTTAAGGTTTAAGTTATATTGTAAAGTTATACTGCCAAGAGTGATGTTCTGCTCTTAGTAGCCACAGGAGAAGCAGCACAGAGTTTTCTGTGGAAGCATGTATGCTACCAAAATAAAGCCACAGCACAAAGCAACAACTCCCTCTGAAGAGCCAGGCAGCAAGGTGGGGTCATACAGGATCCCCAAAATGTAACATAAGGAACCTGACTCTGGCACAGAACAGTTGCAGGGCATGATATATTAAGAGCAACCAAAGAAACAAAGATTTTGTAGAGCAAAGTAGGAGATGGGAAGATGAAGCCTGCAACAGTTTGGAAAAAAATGACTAGGACTTGAAATTCAGCAACTAGCTTAAGAGGAATTAGTGCTTTTTGGAGTTAGAGGGAAACTTTCCAATGCCACTAAACTCTGGTGAAGCCTAACAGGGCCATGACTCATTCAGTCCTCCTAAGAAAGTGGCTCTGCTGCGTGTGTGAATGAGGTTGTCAGTGGAATCCAGTGAAGGAAATGAGATGAGGTGTGTCAAAAGGCATGCAGCACTAAAACACCCGACCTACAGAGCTGGGTAAACATGGAGAAGTGCAAAAATAGTTAAACAAGAGGGAAGAAGAAAAGAAAAGGTGATTTTTGAGAAGTTGCTCTATCACTCATGCTTTACACCAAAGGACTCTCCTCAATGACACCTCTGAAAGGCTTCCCTAGTCACCACAGCCACCTGCTGATTCGGAAGCAGCCCAGCAACTCACCCAGGGGCCGTGCCCTATCAACAGCTTGAATGTCCATGAGGCCAGGCAGATTTGCTCTCACCAAGATGACATTGGCACCAGTGTCCTTGTCGGCCCTGTGAATGCTGCGGGTTTGCCAGTCAGTCCAGTAGATGTAAGAGTCCAGGAGGGTGAGGCCGTAGGGGTGCTGCACTGGCGACAGCAGCGTGCGGCGGTTGGCCCCGTTGAGATCCGCGGCCTCAATCCGCTGAGGAAAGGCACAAACATCAGCCCCAGAACCAAAACACTCATCCTCGTGCTAGCAGTTACTCAATTAAGTAGCAAACAGAGCCTAAGCAAGTGATTTAGGAACCTGATGAAGTTTAATAAG